AAAACCCTAATTTATTAGTTAGTGTGATTTTCTAGTTTTGTACCGTTACAAGGTGCGCGAAATGAAAACTGCGAAAAAATATCGCATTTAGTTAGGTACGCTAACTACATCGCGCGAAATTAAGTATGATTTAAAACTGAGCGAAAATTAGTACAACACGAATATACAAAGTATACAGTCATTTACAGTCGCAGAATTATTTACCTGCAAATCTTTTCCCGCCCCAAACCAATCACATTCATTATTTAAACAATGTAGCTCCAACGACATTAGTTCTCGCTTTGTGTAACCATCGAGAAAAATCTAGGAAAAATTTATTTTGTATGGTGTCATCATTTATATGGTTTTGTTTTGGAGGGCTATAGGCCGTAATAGTGAGGTCTAATTTTGACGTTCAATACCACTACCATTCAGAAACCAACAACCAATCAGATGCGTTTAATCTACCCGATTAACCAATCACATACGTACTTAGTCACTTTGCGGTAGAGGTAGTGGAAGTCCCGTCAAAACAATGACTGACTGGATAGCATGGAGAACAGTGGGATTTTCAAAACAATGAAAAGACAACGGAACATTCTGATCACTGGATCATGACTGGATGGCATGGAGAACAGTGGGATTTTCAAAACAATGAAAAGACAATGGAACATTCTGATCACTGGATCATGACTGGATGGCATAGAGAACAGTGGGATTTTCAAAACAATGAAAAGACAATGGAACATTCTGATCACTGGATCATGACTGGATGGCATAGAGAACAGTGGGATTTTCAAAACAATGAAAAGACAATGGAACATTCTGATCACTGGATCATGACTGGATGACATGGAGAACAGTGAGATTTTCAAAACAATGAAAAGACAATGGAATATTCTGATCGCTGGATCACGACTGGATGGTATGGAGAACAGTGAGATTTTCAAAACAATGAAAAGACAATGGAACATTCTGATCACTGGATCATGACTAGATGGCATGGAGAACAGTGAGATTTTCAAAACACTGAAAAGACAATGGAACAATGGAATATTCTGACCACTGGATCATGACTGGATGACATGGAGAACAGTGAGATTTTCAAAACAATGAAAAGACAATGGAACATTCTGATCACAGGACTATGACTGGATGACATGGAGAACAGTGAGATTTTCAAAACAATGAAAAGACAATGGAACATTCTGATCACTGGATCATGACTGGATGGCATAGAGAACAGTGAGATTTTCAAAACAATGAAAAGACAATGAAACATTCTGATCACTGGATCATGACTGGATGGCATGGAGAACAGTGAGATTTTCAAAACAATGAAAGACAATGGAACATTCTGATCACTGGATCATGACTGGATGGCATGGAGAACAGTGAGATTTTCAAAACAATGAAAAGACAATGGAACATTCTGATCACTGGATCATGACTGGATGGCATGGAGAACAGTAGGATTTCAAAACAATGAAAAGATGATGGAACATTCTGATCACTGGATCATGATTGGATGGCATGGAGAACAGTGGGATTTCAAAACAATGAAAAGATGATGGAACATTCTGATCACTGGATCATGATTGGATGGCAT